GTATGTTTAATTCCTTATGGGTAACCCCGGTTAATTAGTGTAAGGTGAGTCTAAACCCCAAGGTATTTTGGGGCATTAATTTACCATGAATATTTAAATTTTGTTTGCCACTGAGGTTGAAAAGAAGGGTTCAAATCTTGTACACATTAAGATACCAAACAACATAAATGAACTGCACAATCTTAATTTTAAACCTACTTCTAAAAGAAATTGAAGGCATATTTGACATCTAGAATAAATAATTTTTAACATGGCCAAAAAAAATATATCTCTAAAAAAAATAGTCCTGTTACCTAAATTTCTATACTTGTCATTGTTAAATCACCTTAAATAATTGTGAGTCCTAGAATTTTTAGGATATTTAGGAGAAAAGGAATATACAAAAATAGAAGCAAAAAACAAAAATCTTAATCTAAAAGAAACCCTATCAAACTGAACGGGATACCAAGTCCATCAAACATACAATAGATAGCTAGTAAGATATCAAAAAAAACTATGGTAAACGTAAACTTGGCTAAATATAGACAGAATACTCTGACTCAAATATTTGTCAAAATTGTTTAATTCCATGAATCATTTTTAAAAGAATAAATACAGATTCCCAACTCAAACCGCCCAACAAATGGTATTCTCAAAAACATTGAAAAGGCCACAGAATCTCATAAAAGGGATTGAAAGACAACTTTAAAAATACAAACCAGTCTTGAAAAAGTCCTGAGGAAAATACCAGTTCTTAAACCCATATCCAAAATTCTAGCATCCTAATACATTCATTAGATCTACAAAGATCTCAACATATGGCAAAATGGGAACGTGAGTTGGCTTGTACAGTGGCACCAGAAGAAAAAAACATGACACCTCATATCATCCAATTACAAGGTATCAACTACTACAATTTAAATTTAGGTGGCATTTAACATCGCAATATAAAAATTCCACTCTAGAAATACTTCTAAATGTTGGAGAGGATATGCTCAAGCCAGGACACATATACCCGCCCGAAACTTAGTTTTCTGGTAATCTCAATATTAGTTGATCTCCAACATTTTTAAAAAGTATTTAACGATAGAAAAAGGTTTTGTTTTGTTTTACAATTTTTTTAATTTGGATATTAGGAATCTGCCTATAATAATGATGGCGTTTATTCAGGTGCCGTGTATTTAACAATTGGTATATAGTGGAAATAAAATTCACAAACAATGGAACAATACAGTTTCTAGTTTATGAAACTAGAGAAACACTACTTTGCTCGGAATTAAGAAACTATTCCAAAATTTATGGAAGCCTTGGCTTGAACATACCAATGATGCACTAATATCACAAAATTTACCACCGGAGATGTATCTTCATTTTTTGGGGGTTTTTCCTTTTGGGCTTTGTCTATATTGCAGTTTCTGCCTCTCCTTCAATCAGGGGTTGACCAACGTTGAGTTGGGTATCTGCCTGACCTGTCCTTTTTCAATGTCCTCTTGCTTCTAATTCCTTGATTAGTCTTTAATCCTAGGGGTTACACCTAGGGATGTCCCGATGCCACTTTTTCAGGCCCAAGTACAAGTACATCCCCTCATGTAGTTGCCGATACCAATTACCGATACTTTTTCTTAAAGGGACAGGTGACTTTAAATGATCCATAGTACAACTACATGTTATGTACTATGGATCGTGGTTTAACCTATTCATGTTAGCAGGGGAGAATTGTAACTCTATTGCTGGAGTGTAGTGGAGGTGTGTGCTGTATATATGTACTACATATACATTACACACGTCCAGTACACTATAGCAATAGATTTACAGCCAGCCCCGTCCCAGCTTCCCTTACTCACAGTTTCACTCCGATCCCCGTAGCCTCACGCGGTGCCTCTTGTAGTCGGCGCAGGGCAGGATCACTGCATCGCTTCTCGGTGCTCAGCTTGTGGGAGGCGCTCAAAATTCTGCCCTGCTAATATGAATAGGTTAAATCATGATCCATAGTACATATACAGCACATACGTCCCGTACACTGCAGTAATAGTTACAATTATCCCCTGCTAACATGAATAGGTTAAATCATGA